GCCTGATGGAATCCCCCCAATTGTGCTGAGGACGTGTGCTCCGGAGTTGGCACCGGTTCTAACGCTTCTTTTCCGGTACTCCTACTCCCTAGGCGTAGTCCCGAAATCATGGAAGATAGCTTTTGTCCACCCGATCCAAAATTTAAAAGCCAAATTGGCCTCTAAAAAGCTTAGCGTGCTCAGCAGAGCGGTACAGTATCTCATGCCAGCTCAACGCCTGCAACTTTACAAGGCGCAGGTTCGGCCTCACATGGAATATTGTTCCCATCTCTGGGCTGGGGCTCCCCAATGCCAGCTCCTTCCACTTGACCGCATCCAGCGCAGAGCGGCTCGAATCGTAGACGACCGAGTCCTTTCCGATCGGCTCGACTCATTGGCACTGCGAAGAGATGTTGCATCTCTTTGCATTTTCTTTCGCATTTACCATGGGGAGTGCTCTGAGGAATTGTTCGGATTAATCCCAGCCGTCAAATTTCACGAACGCACGTCGCGGCAGAACTCCCGATACCACCCTCACCATCTGGATGATTGGCGGTCCACCACTATGCGATTTAGAAGATGTTTTCTTCCTCGCACAACTTCCTTGTGGAATAGTTTACCACTAGCGATTTTTCCGGACCGATACGACTTAGGGACCTTCAAGAAAAGAGCCTACTCCTTTTTAAAAGGCAGGCAACGCATCTGCAATTCCCCTGGTGTTGCGGTTGTTCGTGGGCGGCGGTGGTCACTAACCATCAGGTGAGCCGCATGGTCGTTTGCTGTCTCCGTCTCCTATAAAAAAATTATTTGATAGACTATTTCCAGTATAATGACCCAAATATCATCATTAATATATGACTGGTACACTTAAAACTTTTTCAGATGGCTAAATGATTAATTATTATTTTATGATAAGGTCATGCTTTTCTATAAAAAGCTGCAAGAAGTTTTAAATCACAGGCCTCTTGGCTTGTTTCACTATTCACTTAATTAGAGAAAAACAAGATGGACTGATCTCAATGTTTAATTTCTTGTGCAAAAGTGCTATTTATAATTTTATGCAGATGATAATTAAAGTTTCTATGTAAATAGGTGTAACATAGCAGGTATTATATTCAAAATAATTTTACCAGGTTTCAAAAATCAATACAAATTTAAAAAATCGAAAATAATACGTAACGACGTAAATCAAAAATAGTAGATCTGTATGTCTATACATACATATATTGATTTACGGCCGCTTAGTAACTGACGGTAACTCAGTACCTATATAACATCCTACAGTCACGCCGAAACTAAGAGGACTTCGCGCTAGAAAACGTAATAATTTAATGCGAAAATTTTGTGATAAAATTATAAAAAATTACGTTAAGTTACATAAAATACGTTAAAAAAATATAACAAATAATAAACTAATGAGTTTGCGTCAGTTCTTAAAAAGTTTACAAGATATAACAAAAATAAAATGTCAAAAAACTTCAGGATCTAATTGACGATATACAGCTGACACATAGTCCTGGTTTTTGAAACCACGCCAGTTGTAAACAATACTTCTGTGAAAATGGTGTACACAAGAGAATTAGGAAGAGACAAAATATTTCTTTTCAAATTTGCGACGAGTTGTAAGTAGAGGGCTAAATTCGCCATGTGCCAATTTAATTATATTTTATATGAAGTGATCTTGACTAGGTTTCATCAATTCACCACTGATAAAAATGAGAACAGCAACTTTACAATTGTGTTTACAAAAAACACTATCAGTTGAACCTTGCAGATATTTACAACAAGCGAATTGCGTATTGGCGAACTTCACATGTCTTCGAATTTTTTTCTTATTCCTCAGACATGCAGGTTTCCTTACGATGTTTTCCTTCACCTTGTGGTAAATCAGCACTTAAAATTACAATTAAAAATTTCTTTAGTGCTGTCAGGAATCAAACGCGGGCGAAATTTACAGCGAGCGCTTAGACCCAAAGCTACTAATACGACACAAATAAATACGATTCAACAAATATAATGAAAACTCTTACGTACTTAAAACTTAAACACTTGATTGCTCGTGATGCCTAAAGGACGAAGCTATAGCACCACACCGTTAAATGTAATTGAAGACGCTTAACCGCGACATAACTCTCAGTGATGCGCATATACTTGTCACATCTGCAGTTTATTAATCTTTGCACTTTTCTAAGTAATACAGAACGTAGTCGCTAGACGGTGTTGACGTCGGCTAAGACCTCTGCGATCGCAGTCAAGGTCATTCAGGCTTCTTAAGGCCTTAAGAGACATTAGCGACAGTTATATATGATTCGTTGTATATACTACTAATTGCAGTACTCGGTATAATAGCATATGTGCAGTAAATACTAACTAATATATGTATATATATATAGTCTAATCTCTAATACTATATAGTCAACTCGACGACTAGACGAAGTTACGATGGGCCGCGGTATGAGGTGATCGCTACCACGCTACCAGGCTATTTCTAATTTGTTTTGTGTTGTTAATTGTGTAACATACATGATTGTATGCTGATATTTTAAAGAAAAGTCCCACTGGGTTTCTTACTGCTTCTTCCCAGGACAGAGGTTTTTTTTCGAACTAGTGGCAAGTAAACATAAAAGTGACTTTCAATAAGTATTATTTATAATCTACATTCTTTTAATAAAAAAGTTTCTGTTTTAAAAAAAGAAGAGCGGAGACCCCCCCTCCCCCCACCTGCCCGCGCCCTCTGCGGTAGTACCGGTCAGCTTCGCTTGCGCACCGGTACGCTCGTTTAGGAGTGTCACGTACTCGGAACGAGTTGACACTTCTGGTGTTCACCCAACAATATGATATTACTCGATATTATTTTTAAATATTGGGAAAGATTGTATGACGCTTTAAGTAAAATTGTATTCTAATGACCGTGTGGTTGGTTGCTTTCATCACGATTTTTAATTGAATTATATGTAAGGATGAGAATTCATTTTATCATTAAATTCAATAAAAGACAATTAAAGAAACCAAATAAGAAATGTCGGAAATATTTCTTAGTTGCACATCAGTAACGAGGCGGTTGAATAAACAGAATAGACATATAATTAACCTGTTTTATTTATTCTGTTTTACCTCCTATCGAATATTTTAAGCGGAATACCTGAGATACTGTTATATAGGTAAAATTAGTAAAATTAGGTGGGTACCTACCACCGCAAGCCTTGGTTTCCATCACGAAGAACCAGATGAAGCTACGGAATGCAAATAGTTTTGTAAAGTAGTAATTAGTTTATATCTTTACATAGCAAAATAAATTATTATTAAGAATACTGATAAAATATAATGCGATGATATTATTATTTAATTAAATGTTTTTGTGACAACCTTTTTAGCGACTTGACGTCGCGACAGCCTTGTAGGTATTTTGCAGTATAACAAAGGAGTTGACCCACTATTAGTATTTATTACACGTATGGTAAAAGCACATGAGTAAAGAAACCGTACCGTACAGAGGCAAAGCTTCATACGACCGCGCTCTGATAGGTACACTACTACAACCTTGAGGCGTTTGTGTGCGTGAGCACTGGCAGCTCGTCATGTACAGAGAGAAACTGCTTTAAACCGGCTCGGCCAGTGCTAAAACTCGGGTTTGTGTAAAAAATATTTTTTTTTAAATATAGTTCGTATCAAATGAAATATAAAAAGGTATAAAAATGGTTTACCGAGGTTACCGCAAGAGATACCGGTGTTTTTGTAAATAAAATTAATAATTTGTTTGATTTCTTACACTCAAGTACACTGCGATCTAATAAATATAAAAGAGCTTTTTAGCATCAAAAGTTAATTATCAAATTGAGTTTTAGTAGAAATGCTAGTATTTTTCAGGAACTTAAAATCAATAAGAAGTGATAGGCAGAAATACGTTACAAATAGCATAAATTTCATTCACGGTTTTCAAGTGTTGATAAAATCTTTAATAAAACTTCATGAAGAATTAAAATCAGAAGAGATTGAATTAATTTATATTTACGTGACGTCTCAATCAAGATTGTCTCGAAAATTTCTTTGGAAAAGTCAGACACGCAGGTGGTAACTACTAGCAACCAACATGTCGACTAGTTAGTATTGCCTTCAATAAGATGTTTATAACCAACCAATATCTTAGGGAAACCTCAAATTTTGAATACGATTTCGATATGCTACTAATGAAACCAGACGATTCTCGTGTTTTAATACACCATCACCGCAACCTGATGATGTTACTGCCCCTGTGTTAACAGTAGAAACAAATGATTATCTATTTGATTTACCAGAAAAAGAAATGGATTAGTCTATGTGCCGCGACATTTGTATATAAAATGTTGTCTCGAACACCACAAGTGTGAGAAAATAAAATTGTACCTTAATATATCTGAACAATTTATAAATATGGGAAAAGGTTCTTTTTTCAGCCATTACTAGGATTAAAAGATAGTGTTCAATAGGGGGTTTTAATAATAATTCCTGACAATTTTATCGCGTTTGTTTGAATAACTGGAGCAAAATTTCGCGAATATTCTGACCTCGAAAAAAACATTGTAAATATTGGTAGTGAAATATTAAAACGCGTGCAAAAGTTTATATTTGTTATGAAATGCGAGTGCTTTACAATATGTTCTTTAAAAAAATCTTTACATTAAATTTAGAATTTATCATTTAATTATAAGTAACAACAATTTGTTGAAGAACAATAATTATAAAAATAAAAGTAGAAGTAAGATAGAGAAAAGTAAGAAGTAACGATAGAGAAAGTAGAATATGTAGTTTGTAAAAAAATATTATACCTTAAGTGTCTATTAAAATGTTGATATACGTTTTGTTTATTCATTTTTATCCTCCTGTGCCAACCCTACCGAAATAGGTAAAAAAATTTACAGCTTCTTAGAAGCTGTGCCTCTGTACAGTTTCTTTACTCATGTGGTAATACCTAGTGTGTATTCTAAGGAATACTGATATAGTTATTACAATTATGTTTGTTTAAATTGTTCGCAGTTCACAAAATGAATAAGAGTGTACGTGTTGAACCGACCCCGCCGGAGTGCGCACTGGCCGCCGAGATGTTCGACCATTTTTGTTCGGCGGGGACTATGAAACAAATCCTTGCTTTGCATCGGGAAATATGCAATACACTCAACCTGAAACCAAACAGGCTTCCCGATTTCTATCCAAAACTAAAGGTCTGTAATAAGTTTTACTAACGATTTCTTTGTTTATAATATTCTAAATACACACAAAAGTTTATACTTATTCATATAAATTTGCTATTATAATTTGCCCTTAGTCCACTCAAAAGGTTCATAAAATTAGACTTATATTAAAAAAAGTTTGGAGATATTAAAAAGACAAATTAATTACATAATAACTTCAGAGTTCGTGGCTTTAATTCTACACAGTATGTTTTGACACCGACTTCTGAAGCTGTTATGCGTAAATTATTTTATCCTTTTAGTGATGTCGGCTTTTACATTTTAATAAGTCTAATTTTGTTCTCTTGCACTTAATTTCTGTCCTTCTAAAAATTGTATAAGGAAGAAATCGATTTTAGCGATTAGACTACAATACTACAATATTTCCTTTTTGTTTGCATATTTTTATTTCTAGCGTACAATTAAGTGTTTTCTATCCATCTAACTATTATGTAATAAGTGTGTACAAAATACGATATTTTTCGAGTTTTTGAGTAGTAGTTAAATGTTTTTGTACGTGGTAGAGCCATGCTACAGCTATATTAATAGTAGTATCACGAATGTGTCGGCTCGACCGGGGAAGGACCACGCTCTCACAGAATACCAGCGTAAAATAGCAGTTTAACACTGCTGTATTTCGTATGGTGAGTGTAGAGAACCGGAGACCCTTTTTACTGGAAAAGAGGCATTTCATCTTAGTCCTCACGGGTGACAACGCATCTACATTTTGATTCGCAAACGAGGATAAATGTAGATGTCTATGGGCCACAGCAACCTCTTACCATCAGATGGACTGTGTGCTCGTTTGTCACTCGATACTATAAAAAAAATGTATATAAAATAAGCGAGATAGGTGTGTCATTGCCAAAGACCGTAGTCTCTGCCATCTCTCTGGGTGACAGGCATAAGAATTTATAAATATGTATTGTATTTTATATGATGGTAAAAGTATTTCTATAGCATACTTTGTATCGGTATCGTATCATCAGACACTAATACAGGTAGCGCGAGGTAAGATGAAGATGTCACGCACATAGTTTTAAACGTAATAGTAAAAGGTACAACTACAGCTCGAATATTTTATTATTTTCTCAATTATATAGCCAGGTTAATTTCTACTACTGTGCTTGCAAGTTTGATGAGACTTTATCATCGATGTGATAAAGATATGTTTTCTTGAAAAAACTGGTGTTAATATTCGTGTTAAAAGATATTTTGAAAATATTAGTTGTTTTAAATTAAGTTAAACACTTAAATCAACAGGACATTGTAAATGTCGTAGCACTTAAGAAGTTGTAAAGAGTTACTCCGATTTGCATAGTTTGGCGTGTTGCCACTGAAAAATATGCGAATGTTGTGGATGCCTTCGGAATGCGGTAATTAATAGCTACTTGAAGATTATAACACCACAGGTCAATCACACATCTTAATCCAATTTTAGGTTTCGGAAACGGAACGTTAGTAAATGTAATAACGTTTAATTTTCTACCGACTTAACTGCATATTTTATATTAAATGCTTTCTCGCACCCGCCTGGTTTACTTTTTTCGTTGCGAGTATCACCTCTCCTTCTCACACTTTCATGATTTAATACAATAACTTTCTGTAATTATATCAATATATTATTGTGTAACTCTGGTGAAAATCTTAGTAGGCCTCGTTTTGATGTTTGCTCTTTGCTGTTTTGGTTTCGTTGAATATGGTAAATGTTAGTATACTTACATTATAAGTGGATGTATTTTTTATATTATTATCATAATCCATGTTATAAAATATTATCATAATGAAAAGACATAACGCAGTTGCGGAGTATTTCCCATTAGCAAACGATAACCATGAGAGTTAAGCCCGCCACATACATACGGGATTCCGTTTCGGGTATCCGTTTCGATATTCCGATTCGAAATTCCGAACGCACCAAGTCCATATAAAATCTATGACCCATCACACACGTACGGTAGTTTTTTCGATTGTTGATTCCGTATGTGTGTGGCCGACCCATTCGTAATTCCGAAACGGAATTCCGTATATATGTGGCTGGCCTTACACAGTGCGGAACATAAAAGAACATTAATAATTGCACAATATTTGATTACCTGTGACGTCATGTATCGCTATTAGCGAATTCGTTATTAAAACATTAATTTGCCCTCTTCGCGTAGGTTTAAATATTGTAGGTGGCTATTTGTGAGTTTATGTTTATTATGTTTTAGGGTTATAATTTATAATATATCTATGTGCTGTTAGGTTTTTATAGTTGTTTTTTTCTCAGTTGTTTTAGAGCTTGTTCCGTTATAGTAATTTTAAATTTTAAAATTTCCTGTAAGTACCAAGAAAATACAAAAATAATGAAGACTTGACGGTTATGATCAATTCCAATGGTGTGTACTTGGTTGACACTGGGTATATTTTTAGTTGTGAATGTAAGATGGCTTTTTGCCGTGCTTTGTGTAATTTTAAGTAGTAGTAAAGGAGGCCTATGTTGAGTTCTAAACTTTGATAGACAGAATAATGGTGACGATGGTGACACTAGTAGTTTCCTTACTACTTCTGCCACTTGTTAACTGTATTAAAAATAACTACTTGGTACGTCATAATTTATGAGAGTACGAGAAGAGTTAATTATCTAAAGACAAGGTAACTGTGTCTTAGTAAATATTGTATATTTCATATGCCTTTTCAAAGGTTGTGAATTCTTATCTCCTCCTTCTTATTCCCATTCTTAGTTTTCATGGTAATTACATTTTTATCACTAATACTAATTGTTACACGATGACGCATTGTTTATCAATTGCGATAATGAGTGCGCTAGCAAAATGTTATTTTGTCATACGAATGATGAACCTATAAAACACTTTGCGAATGTGAATGTGCTGAGAGCGCGCGATAATTTGATTTTGTATTGCTTACTTGAACTTATGTAATGTTCTCTTTAGCATTAAGCCGCTTAAGTTCTTTTTTAAGTAAACTAAATAGCATTACTAGCAATGCGAGATCAGAATTTTAAAATAACTTTTGTTTCTAATGTGTAATATAAGAATTTATTAAATAATGATGCCCGATTGTGTGTTTCTAACTATGCCGACGTCTGACGACCAAACACAAAATATTTTATTATAATTAGCTAAAATACATATGCCGTAATCTTTCCATGTTCGATATTGTGCTAAACACCTAATGTACGGGCATGAAAAAGTTATGTTTTATTAAATACATATATATTGAAATTTCGGCATGCGTCGCTGTGGACACTCCCATAACATCCCGTGGGTGTCTTAAGAGGCGACAGATGGATGTTGACACGGGAGATGGGCAGCAGCATCTTCGTGATAACAACTCAAAATAAAAAAAAAACTGCGGTTGCTATCCCGCCAGCCAAGTGTGGCAGCTATGGCAAATATCCCCGTATGAGGCCATATATGGAAGAGGCAAAATTTTCGTAGTGGACGCGGGTAGACTGTATTGATAATGATGATGATGATGATGAAATGAAGCGAGGGTTAGGCACTTAGACTGACGACAAAGATTATTATAATTATTATAAGATTGTTGCAAAAAATGGGTACGATTTTAAAAACGGAATTGCTTCGGAACAGTAAAAGGGATGGGCGCGCAGGATGTGAAATTGTAATTGCGTAGCTAAGTTCACATTTCACAAAATTTGGCGCGATGGAGCGTTTCGATGGCGCGCAACGTGCGTTCTGCGTTAAAAATTATTACAAAATGGTGATTCCTGTACTGTCGTTCGGCGTTTATTTTGCGCAAAGAGTTAAGATTACACGACTTAACTCAATATTCTTGTAAGACTGTCAATATATCGTGGATCAGGAAGGTTTTTTTTAATCCAGGGCTCGGAAACGGGTACAGATTCTTAACCGGTTTCCGTCCTTGACCCCAAAACCGGTTTTTGCGGAATACCGGTTTTCACAAATTTAGGTTTAGGTAGTAAGAATTAACCGGTTAAAATCAAGTGTTGTAATGACCCCCTCTCGCTTACCTCGCTTGCACCCAATTTTGTACGGTTGCCCTCTGTTTAATTCACGAGGTTTTTAGACGCACGTACGATATATTCTTTGCATCAAGGCGACTGCCTTTTAACGTATTCCCACATATTTTTTCATGTTACAGCAACGATCGTATTATAAATAACAGAAGATGTAAGTTCTGTTTCAATTAATTATTCGTTATCTTCACTTTAAAATTAAGTTTCGATATCAAGTTTAATTCGACCTTATATATTTAAATAGACTTTAATTCTATCAGCTGGTGATCTTCTGGTCTACCTGACCCATAGATGGGCGGAGGCAGTAGAGTCCAAGGGGGAGGCGTTGGCCGTTAGTCTGGACATTGCGAAGGCCTTCGATCGGGTTTGGCACAAAGCGCTTCTTTCGAAGCTCCCTTCCTATGGGCTTCCCGAGATATTGTGCAATTGGATCACCAGTTTCCTTGCAGATCGGAGCATCAAGGTCGTTGTAGACGTTGCATGTTCTGACTACAAGCCTATTAACGCTGGTGTTCCACAAGGCTGTGTGCTATCACCAACGCTGTTTCTTCTGCATATCAATGATATGTTGCTAACTGGTAACATTCATTGCTATGCGGATGACAGCACTGGTGATGCTCTATACACCGGCCGTGCCAATCTTTCTCGGGAAAACGTCGCTGAGTACCGGAACAAACTTGTGTCTCAAGTCGAGTCTTTGCTGAACAAGTCTCGGATTGGGGGCGACTAAATCTAGTCCAGTTTAATCCTCAGAAGGCACAAGTTTGCGCGTTAACCGCTAAAAAGAACCCCTTTGTCGTATCTCCTCAGTTTCAAGGCACTCCCCTTCTTGCCTCAGCCAGTATCGGTATCCTCGGAATCGACATATCGAGTGACGTGCAGGTTCGTGGTCACTTGGAAGACAAGGCCAAATTGGCCTCTAAAAAGCTTGGCGTGCTCAGCAGAGCGGGACAGTATTTCATGCCGGCACACCGCCTGCAACTTTACA